GAAATATCTAAGTTAAATCCGGTCTCGAAGAACGAAATATTGAAATTCAATGTCAGTCAAAAAAGTTTTTTTTTTATTCTTCTTGTTTTAGTTACAACAACTGAACATCAAACTAAATATAATTATACACAGGGTAAATGAGAGAGTAAACAAATAATAATGAATATAAATACCGAATATAATGTAACTGTCATTATTTTCTCTTTCTTCATTTCCATTTCAATTTCTTTTATTTCTTCTTGTGTCTCTTTTGGCCAGTAATATTCAGGAAGTTTCAGAAAGTTCGGCCCTGTCAGCCATTCGTTTTTGTTCGCGGTATTATCTTCTCTGGTACTTTCATCTGCTACATTCTCATCTCCAGGGACCCAGTGTTTTGTATCTTTTAGATTTAGAACGAATTCAGTGCAAGACAATTCTTTAGTCTGTCCATACATGAGTTGAAGTAATATGTATTTCAATGTTGTTTTTGATAGTGTTCATGAGTCTGCTCAACATAACCGCGGCTTGTAACTCCAACTGGGTATGGTCATCGGTTTCAAAGGTGCCACTCTTGATTTAGCACTTACGAAAGATAAATTTGAATTTTTCATCTTATTCATATCTCATATAAACGACAGCTGAAAAGGCTTTCTCACTGCTGTCACAAAAACCATGTAGTTCAACTTGTTTGCTTTCATACAATCCGGTTTCATAGCATCTAGGTAAACTGGTTTCATTAATTTTTGTCAATTTTTCCAGGAGTTATTTCCATCTTGTGTTCATTTCCGTGGATAACTCATCGTCCCAACCTATTCTAATCCTCCATAAGTTCTGCATGAAAATTTTGAATTTTACGACCAGCGGGGACAAAAAACCTAACGGGTCAAATACAGACATGACCACCTTCAAAACATCTCGTTTCGTGGGAATCTTGGTTCTGTTCAAGATTTTTGAGTCCAATTTCTGATGGTTCAGCGAAAAAGTAAAACTATCTGCTTCTGGATCCCACCAGAGTCCCAATACTCTCTCAGGTTTTTGAGTAAAAGTGCTAAGATTTTTCTGATTTGGTGATCGAAGATTCACAGGAATTTTGTCAATCACTTCCTGAGAATTATTTATCCAATTACGTATTTCAAATCCGGCTTTCTCGTGGATTTTTATAACTTCCAGAATCAGTTGAATTGCTTCTTCTTCTGTTTCTGCACTATCCTGGTAGTGATCTACATAATGTTTGTCGATTATTGCCCTGGCTGCTTCTGGAAACTTTGAAGAAAATTCTTCAGCGTTCCTATTTTTGACGAATTGTGCCATCGAGGGAGACGACGTTGCTCCAAATGTCATTACCTTCATTTCATAAATATCAGGTTGTCTGGACCTATCCATTCCTCGCCAGAAGAAGCGCTGGGCTGAGCAATCCTCTTCTCGAATGAAAACTTGGTGGAACATGTCTCGAATATCTGAGCAAAATGCGATTCTCTTCTGCCGAAATTTCCACAAAATTCATGTCAGATTTTGTAATAAGTCTGGACCTTGTAGAAGATGATCATTAAGACTGACCCCATTCGATTTTGCCGCCGCATCGAAGACCAGTCTCAATTTGCCCGGTTTAGAGGGATTAGTTACCCCAATGTGGGGTAAATACCAGGTTCTAGGACCACCTTTCTCTGTTTCAGTAACATCAAGCTTACGAATGTAACCTTTTGTCAAGTATTCTTCGATTTTCTCGCCATAATTTTTCGCAAAATCTATATTTCTGTCCATTTTTCTCTCCATACATTTTAAACGATTAAGTGCCACTGCTTTACTATCAGGTAGTGTTACGTCATGATTTCGAAGTGATTTCCAACTCGATAAATGGTATTTTCCATTATTTTCAACGCCCTATCATCTTCTTTAGACCTTCCATTTTCTTCCGGGCTTCTTATGCCAAAATTGTCAATTTTGAACGAGTCTCTCACTAGAATGTGAATATCTTCATCAACTCGTTCTTGAGACTTACAACAAACGTGAAATATTAAATACGTTTCAACAGCAACTTTTCCCTGGGGGTATCTGCCATGTACTACCGATCCCAGTGAAGTTTTTGATACAAACGGTGCATTCCAGTAACTTTGATATATTTTCCTTGCAATAGTCAAAGCACATTGATCCTGACCAATGAGAATTGTTAGTTGTGCATCATAAAAGGAAAGTACAGTTGCTTCTTTGATGTATACCAGTTGAAATGGGAAGGGAGCCAGGCTTCAACCCGAATGAACTCAAGATGGATTACGTCTTTGATGTATGGATAGATTCTACTCAGGTGTATTCGACATCAATAGTATGTCTTGGAAATGAGAGTCCACTTACAGTTCGAACTTCATTCATTTTATATGTTTTTGAGTTCTTTTCCATTGAAGATACCTCTACTGTCACTCTTTTGGAGTTTTCTTCATTTTTGGTAACATTGTTAAGCCACTGGTAGCAGAGTGACTCAACCGGTCCATCCAGTCCTAATTCATTGGCAATTTTGCTGTCTATCATTGTTTTCGTAGCTGCCTCGTCTAGTAGAGCAAAGGTAGAAATTTCTTTTTTAGGCCCTCGAAGTTTCACCGGAATTATTCGTAGAAGGATTGTGGGGTTATCTTGTTGGAAAAATGTATTTTTTCAACTTGACTTTCCGGTCCGACATCTTCATTTGGGCTTAAATAAGAACTTGAGGCTTCGTTTTCCTTTTTTGTAAAATCAAGGTTATGTAATATGTTGTTGTGGAATTTTGGCCAATTTTCAATTCCACCCTTTTTTTTCAATCTACACGAGTAGATATTATGTAGATATCACAATTTTCCATTTTTCGTCGATATCTAGTTTTTTGAAAATTTGGCAGTCAGTCAAATTATGTTTTTTTTTGAGATTTGGACATTTTTCATATTTTTTGGTCGAAAATATATCAGCATTTTTCCTAGAGTGGAATTTCTCATTTTCGTTCATTTTTTTTTCGAAAAAGTGGTAACTACTGAAGTCAGCACAACTTGATGCAGCTATTGCGATGTTTCTCATCCATACAGAAAAGGTTTTTAAAGTAATTTTATTTTGAAGAGAAGATTTCTCGGCCCATTTGAGTCTCAGGAATGGGGGTAATTTAATAACTATTTCATTCAAGATTGATGGATTTTTCATATGTCCTGTATTTTCAAAGAGTTCCATAGTAGTTACTAAGTTTTCGATAACATTAGAAAATGGTAGGTATGTTTCAAACCGTCCCTCCCTCGGAGGAGAGGCTCGACGAACTTTCTCTATTAGATTTGAAATTATAAATTCAGGTCATCCAAATGTTGTTGGTGAAACAAGAAGAGGTTGTATCAAACATCTTTGTAGACGGATTATATTTTCATCTTCACATATATCAAGAAGTTTGGTGGAACGTTCGAACAGACTGTAGAACAAAGGCCAGTCCTCTGGATTCCCATCGAAAATCGGTAAATTTGATTCAACATTGTCTGTTTTTCCGAACATTTTGATTTATTTATCTTCAGAACGTCTGAAATCTGGTTGGAAATATCAGTAGTCATCGTAGTAAAGTTGTTTGTCGGTACGAAATCGGTTGTATTTTCTGTTTCTTTGATTTTCCACTCAGCAACTTTTTCTTGTAGCGTCATTTCTTCCAAATCAATGATGTTTTTGCCACTAGAGATTGTGGACTTTTTAAATGAAGAATCTTGAATCAGTTCACGTTGAAGTTGTGCTTCTTTCCTTATTAGTTCAGCATCAATTTCGGCTCTCCTTCTCTCAATTTCGGCTCTCCTTCTCTTTACTTCGGCCAATTTTCTTGTTTCTTCCAATTCTATTTCCAACATTCGTCGTCTAGATCTTTAAGATTTCGTAATTTTTCATTTGTCTTCGGCATTAGATAGGTCTTCTAATGAAAAATGTTTCTGCACCTCCGAAACTTGTCGTGGGTCAAAACATACGTCGCTATATCTTTCAGGAGGAACTCCTTTAGTTTTCCTCTCACTCCTCCTCAGGTTAGGCATTAACATATTGTAATTGATTACTTTTGGTTCTTTTTCTTTCGCTCGAAGGACCAATGTTCAGACTAGTCAGTCCTACTGTGAATTCCTTTGATTTAAAGTTGAAATAAACCAGGAATCAAACGTTTCAAGACAATCTCTTTATTTTTTATATGTTTCAAATTATTTTCAATGTCAAAATCGTCTTTCATTATAAACAAACCATGATCAATTATTTTAACATACAAGGTGAACAAAAGTGAACAAAACTAATTAAAAGCAACAACACTAACTATTCTGTGTCAATATAAGTCATTCCCGCCAAAAGATATTCGCCATCTCTGCTCGATTCTAGAATGACAGATCTGGAATAAGATCAGTGCGAACACATAAAACATCTCAATTGATATACTTTTTTCCAATTCTGAAGACGAAGGCAGATTTTTAGCCTTCGAAACGTTAAGATTAGTATCTGTATATTTCTTAGCTATTTTTCTGAAAGGTGAAATTATTAAATACGGCAATTTACATAAATAACACATTTTTCTAACTAAACTGAATGAAAAGTTTGTTTTTTCTACACGTGTATACAGTTCTTCATTAGAATTTTTAAATTTTTTAGTTTGCGGAAGGTGAAATTAAGCAAGGAAGGTTCATGAAAAAATAGTACATTGTTATGTGGTTACGAAATACAGTTTATTTGACCACAAAAACAGAATAGAAGCTTCGTTAGTTACAAGCTACACATCTTTTGACTAATAAGAAACTTCCCTTAGCTCGTTTTCAGGACAGTAAGTTTTTGTTGTTGTTTCATGAATTCTCTTTTCTGGAAAATAAGAAATATCAAAAAAATAATCATTCATTTGTTCATTCACTTAACATAGTACAGTTTGTTTACATTTTTTGGTTGCATTCACTAGTGCATTCCGTAGTAAAAATTTTTTTAAGTTTTGTCACCGTATAAGAGTAAACTTCTATACGGTGGTTTTGTGTGGTAACACTTCATAAATAAATTGACTAAATGACAGATTAGTTCCCAAATTTTTATTGGCAAACCTTATTTCTACCGGAAATTCTTCCCTACACGTCGCAATTCAATATCTGCCATTTATTTCTTCCGTGGAAATATGGCTTCAGGTATGTAGTTTTTTGGTGATAATTACATGTATTTGGGATATTCGCGTTTGTATTTTCACTTTTTCTTTATTATTTGAAAACATGATGTACATAGTGGTTTATTATTTCCTGTAAAATCGATTTTATCCAATACAAGAGAAATCAAACCTCAATTTACCCTCGTGTTGGCATTTTGCAAAGAATCTTCATATTGTTTACAACTTTTAGGAAAAAAGGGAAAGAAAGCCAAAGGCAAAACTTTGAACCTCAACGACTTTCTGCAGGAAAATGCTGGATCTATACCTGTTCAACCTATCAGAAAATCCAACCTCAACTGGGCTGATGAAGTGGATGATTATGGTAAATAGTTTTTTCCTATAGTCGAGTTATAAATTTTATATTTCCATTTAATTACATGTATGCCTAACATTTTCTGTATAGCATTATCATCATAAATGTTTACCAATGTAGGCAATAAGTACCTTCTGCTGATTTTTTTCATTTTTTGGTTCTGTAATTTCAGTCCCTAACAAGATTCAGTTTGAAGTTAGTAATGTGAAAGAAAGTTTCAAAGCCTATTTTTTTCTTGTATTAGGTACTCTGAAAAGAGTACCCACCACAGGATGCCATTTTAGACAAGCCTTCATTTAGATAATTCCTTTGGACTATACTGAATAATGTGAGCATATAAGATAAAAAAAAATATGTGTTGAGAAAGTAGAGAATGATCATAAATAGACAGTTTGTAAAAGATGATTGTATCAAGTTTAAAAAGAATTTTTGATCATTGGTAGTAAACCATTGGCAGATTCGCTTTCAGTGTCGATAAATTATAATTTTTCTTTTTCATTTCAACTAACTTGAACGTGAAATTTTTATTTGAAATGTAATTCGGGAATAACATTTACTGTTATCATCAGACTAAAGTAGACGGAAAGGCATGATTAACATTTCCTCTAGAGTAACAGCAGAGCTGACAACTGTATCATCCAGGCAACTTCCACTGTTAGTTTTTCGGGCAGTTTCATTCACGGGTTTGAAGATTGATATTTTTGGTAAAATTACTATATCAATACTGAAATTGCCATCAATTAAAAACTCTTTTGAATAAATAGCTTACCTTGCAAAAATTGTTCTGCCATATACATTTTTTCTCCAAAAAATCAAATTTGATGCCAATTTGAAAAATCGTCAAATAAATGTCTGTATAAGGACACTCCTATCACCTAGCCCTATAGGCATGAAACATACTTCACAACCTATTCTCTAGTAGCCCCAATATACAAAACAACTTTAATTTAAATTGTGTGAGTCGTTTCGAAAGGATATCTTGGTGTACGAGTAATTTATAATATCGAACGCCAAGTGGCACTATGCATACTGTATGAGAATAAGCAGTAAGCAAGCAGCTGCATGTGACAGGCATCCGCGCGGGAAGGAGCTCCAATACGCACCCAATGCTTCATCTCCAATTCATTGACTGGGAAAAAAATTGATGTCTCGGCTATTGAGACAACCGTCCAGTTTACAAATATTCTTCCTTTTCCCGGGGAACAATAGTGTCCTATACACACCGTAAAACCTTAGTTGTAGTTAATCCTTGCATAATGTAACCTCCTATATGTATATAAGCAGTGAAACAACATTATTTGAATTTATTTATTGAATTAGGATTCCCTAATATAGCTAACTTGAAATATAATATAATCAACAAAATTTATATAAATAATACATACATAATTTGAACTGAACAAAAAGGAATTTTTCAATTTCCATCATGAATATATTTCAACAGTTCGCTCTTGAAAATCTTTAATGATCGAGTAGATTTAATTGAATCAGGTAAATCATTGAATTGGACAAATCCTTTAAAAAATAAACTGCTCATACTATATCTTGTATTTGTTCTATTTATATGAATGTGACTGTTGTGCCTAGTGGAATGGTGATGAATGTCCTTATTGAAAGTTATTAATGATAGCAAGTATGGTGGGGTCATTTTATTTAATATTTTATAAATGAAAACCATGGAACAATAGAATTATCTTTTGGATACTGAGAGCCATTGTAGAGCAGATAACATGGTAGAAATTGGTGTATACCTATTACATTTTAAAATTATTCTCATTCCTCGATTTTGTAGGTTTTGTGTTTGTTGAACTTTGTTCAAATTAAAAGAGAGCTAAGAATAGTACCTCGAAAGAAATCTACTTTCACTGTATTATACTTAAACAAATTATGCAAGTTGGAATCGAACAGTGAAGTGCTCTTGAAGTTAATTGTTCGACTCTTGTCTGTTTTTGCCCCGACTCGTCTATTTATGTGCCTTCTATTATGAATAAATAAAGTTTAGTTAAGTTTATTTCAAATTGGCATAATAACACTGCCCGTGGTGCACTAGCGCTGTTAGCCCGCTTCTTGCGGAGCTTCACAGGTAAAGGCTGCCCCTGCCTGTTCCTGTATAAATGTATATTTTTCTTTGAAACAAGTGAATAAGATATAATTGACTTGAACTGTATAACATCATCTGTGAATAGCAGAAAAATATTCAATTATGTTGGTTCTTTGAAAAAATTCGTTCGAACCGAATCCATTTTCTTGTTACTTTTCACAGCATGTATTTCATTTTTCAAAAGCAATTGCTGTTTATGATGCATATGAAAATTCATATTTTTTTTAATGATCTAAACTTTTTAAATAAAATATTTTTGTTATCTTAATATTTAAACTGATCATCCCGTTAATTTATTTCTATAAGTATACAAGAAAGAAGTAAATAATCATGATGAGTAGGTCAACAAACAATAAATGGATCTGGTCCACAACAATCCTGCACCTGGAGCACTCTTACAGTGTACATGTTACACCTCCACTCTTGCTACGGGAAGGTCTGAGAAAGGCAATTACCCTCTAGACGGGGGCTTGTGGAGACACAAGGCAAGGGAACCAGAAATATGTTGACAAAGCGTTGTAGCCCAGGATTGCCGAGGCATAGGTGATGCGCCGAGTCGAATGGAACCTCTTGCAGCCGGCATTTTGAGTATAATCTGCAGGCTGGGCATTTTCCAGAACTCAATTCAGACTAGTCTGTTGTGGACCTTTTCCTTTTTTGTTTAGACCAGATCTGAATTTGCCTTTGGATTGTATTTGAAAATAAATGTTGAACACCACAGTCTAATTTTCTGTTTTATTTATTGTCAAGATGGGTATGACAGGAAACCTATCAACGTGGTGCTACCCACAGCACCAAAAGCCTCTCGAGATTATGACGATATAACTGACAAGGTTCCCAAAGATCCGCCGTACTCTGCTTACCTATCCAATTTGCCTTATGATGTGGATGAGGATGAGATTGCCGAATTCTTTAGGGACATGAAGGTAAGGACATTGACTTGGTCGTTAACAAGAAATTTCAATAAATATTAGTACATGCCAAAGTTTACTTTTTATTTGTAACATCTCTTTGTTGAGTAAGTCAAACATTCAGTCTCTGAAATGAAACAATGAGGTGACAGTTTTGATAGCACCCACAGAAAGTGGGTATTTTTATCAATCATCTAAAGTAAAGAAGAAAACAATTAGGTTCAAAATATACTCCTAAGTGTCTTTCAGATACGAACTGAAAGAAGAAAAAAATCCATCTTGAAACAATTTCTCTCAAATCAACATTGAATTACACAGAAAACTTTCTGTTTTGGTCTGTTATTCAAGCATTCGTTACAGAATTGAAACATGTACCATTCAAAGGAAAACTACAAAAAGTTTTTTCCAAAAAAGTTTTCTCTTCTAAAAAATATCTCCTCTTTCAATTTGAACATTGGCACATATTTTTTATAGTGTTCTGAAATTATTTGTTGATGAATCCATGAAATTGAATGTTAATTGAGGAATATATGTTGTGTATATTTTTCAGATAGCAAATATGAGAATTCCTAAGGATGATCGAGGCGGAGAAGCAAAATCTAAAGGTTATGGTTATGTAGAATTTGAGGACAGAGACAGTCTTTTAAATGCACTTGTTTTACCTGATACGGTAAGTTTTATTTTATTCTATTGTGGTTATGATAGCTGTTTTACATGCCTTTAAAAAAAATGGAAATATGTATTTCTGAAATTTCATGTTCTCCCTGAGCGATATTTATGACATTTAACTTCTTTCCTTTTTTTATTATAGATTTGGGAAAAGTTCACAATATAGTATTTCAAATTTCCTGACAAGATTTGTTTTTGAGAAATTGTTGCAAAAACTTGGTTACAGATTCTCGTTAATAACATGTTATTATAAATTAATTGAAAAAAATATTTGCATCCATATATATAAAAGAACATCCACACACTTATACTTTCATACACGTCTTATATGGGTACATGAAAATACATACAAATCAAAATATTAGAAATGTATAACTATATTGGCTCCATGCAGGCAGATCATGAATCAAATTTGATTGGATATGTTCATAATATATGTGTTAGGTTGTAAATTGTGTTCTCTTTCGGATTATTCATTTTTATATAGAAATTTTACTTTTAATGATAATTTTTCTAACCCATATTTCATTTCCATTTCGTCACAACAATTTGTTTTCTTTCAAATTTGGTTTTACAATTTTCTACATTTCATAATCACTATTTATTTCATTTTGCACTTTTGATACTATCAACTCGTCCAAATATTTGGGTACTGGTAATTTTTAATACTTTCATCGTTTATTATCAAAACAACAGTTCCAAGTAACTAAGGGTGTAGTCTAGTTCACATGTACTTTTTTGCAACATTTTTCAGCCCTGTCCAAAAATTGTGATACCTTAATGTCTTTTTCATTCGCTCCTTCGCTTTTTATAATTATAATAACTTTTAGTTATGACAAATTTGCTTCAAGTTTTTTTTATTCATTATGAATTCATTAACAATTTAAGCCTTTTACTTAAGTTGTGAGCATCGGAAATTTAAAGAAGGTTAATGAATAAATTCATTAAAATTAAATTAACAGAATGACTGATTGGGTCATTTAATTTTCTTAAACTCCATACAAATATGACAATAAGTGAATGTTAATGATCCTACAACTACTAAAAGTGCAAGTAATAAAATCCTTATGAAACTTTTTTTACGCAAATTCATTGATCTTTTCAAATCTTTTTTCAAATTTCCAAAATATTTGAAAATTTTCCGAGATATTAAGAAAAAACTAAAGCCCCATTTTTTTCACTAGTTTCAATAGTTATATCTTTTGTAATTTTTATCGGCGCGTTTTCGGACCTTTCCTTAAACTTTCTAGGCAAAAATACAAATCGAATGACACCTTGGTCGTAATTTTTGGACAGGGCTGAAAAATGTCACCAAAAAGAGATAAATCGAGTACATGTGAACCAGACTAGTAGTTGATATTGCCTGACAATATTTTTGTCACAGATGGATCTATGTGAAAACAAGTCAAAATTCAATAAATTGATGGATGTAATGGTAGGAGAGAGATCATCATGGAAAATGAGAATTGAAATTATGTTTTTATACCACTTATATTTGAAACTAACGTTACTGCAGTTTCGTTCCACAAATATTTGTTTGAAAATGTATTTTTTTCACTGTCATTTATTCGGACCTCTGGCATTATATTGTAGGTCACAATTAGTCCCCTATATATCCAATTTACCTCCCTAACAGCAGTTACGAAAAGCAAAGGACCATGATTATTAAGTTATCAATGGTTCTACCTACCCTTGGCAACACTTGTTTTAACCAAATGTTAATACAACACAACTTGGATCTGTTTCCAATAGCATATTTGTAGTTTGATGGCATCATACTTATTTCATGCATCATCAATGTCTTGCAACTGAGTTTATTGTGTATGAACTATAATTTGAAAGTTTTACCATTTGATTTAGTTATATTCATGTTAAAAAACAAATTGAAATTTGTATGTACTATCAGGCCAGGCCAACAATAATGAAAGTATTTTTTAAGCAGCATTTCCCTCCATATGGATATCAAGTCTCAGGTCTTTCCTCTTAATTTACAATTTCTAGCATGTATTTGAATATAGTGACATATACGCAAATATAGAATATGGGTGAAATTTAAATATTTGCTTGGCATATTTTTTTTATTATCGTTTTTGTTAAATTTACATCAAGTTTATTTCTCTTCAAGACATTGAAAAATAGAAGGATTAGGATAGAAGTTGCTTCGAACATGGACAACGACCGCCGAAGAGGAGGACGCATGGAAATGGGACGTGACCGAGGAGAGAGAAGCGAATCTTTTGGCGACTGGCGGTCAGGTCCCCGAACTGAAACTAACGACAATGATAGGCGAGGCGGTAGTTACAATAGAGATAGGGACGGTGGTGGATTCACTAGAGACAGGGACGGCGGAAGTTTTAATAGAGACAATATGCGAGGCGGAGATAGAGAAGAAAGAAGTTTCAGCAGGGAAAATATGCGTGACAGAGACCACGGTAGAGACAGAGATAATTTTAGGAGTGCCAGAGAAAGCGATGATAAGCCGGGAGCTTGGAGGAATGGAGAGAGGAACAGAGACCAGGATAGAGACAGAGGTAGAAAATTAATTTATATTTGCTGCTGTATGCACATGAAGTTTGCGATGTTTAGATAAGGACATCTGCCATAAAGTTATAGTCTAGTCGGGCAGTTGAAGTTATTCAAAATTGTCTCCTCAACAGTTTACATCTTTGAAGTGGGTAACTTCACCAATCAAAGTCCATTAATAGTAGATAAGATAGAGTACCAGTAAATTGTATTTGAATTCATTAGACAAAATTTTAAAGAAAAATGCAAGTATTCATAGTAGACTCTTGGCTCGGACGAGTCTCCCAGCAAATCTCAAGATCTAACAATATAACGGTTTTTACTGTTTCAGAATCTAGCAGTCAAAAAATCAACAGAAAGAGTTGCACCCACATAAGGTGGGTCTTACATTCAGGAGGTTATCAAAGTTATCCGTATGCCTACACAGGACAATCTAGTCCAAGTTCAAGACAAATAAAGTAGTTATAAACTCGCAACTGTCGGTTTAGCAGACCCTTTACTTTAAATGAAAAATGTGAGACTAAAATTATAATATTCATTCATCTAAAGATGACATTGAGTGAAATGAAAAAAATGCAATAGAGTTCATCCGGGAGCAACTCCTCAATTTTACAGTTTTGGGGCCAGATATTTTATGTTCTCAAAAGTTAATTGTATAATTTAATGGCCATAAGCCTGGCGCATCTTTGAAAACTACCAATCTATGTGCTGGCACTTCCAATTAACAGACTTTCTGCTGTTTTGCACATTTTGAAAGTCTAAACTTGTGAGAGCTGAGAACTAACAACGTCTTCCTTTTTAACGTGTGATTCCTAACACGGATTGGACAATAGGGAGTGAAAATCGATCATCCGACCTTGTGGTTTGAACCACCGGTTCACACAGCGGTGGTTTGAGTGAGTGAAGCAAACCACCCAGGCTACTGTTCCATAAAAAATGATACCATGAAAGTGCATAATAATGAGTATTTAATAGTGATTTAGTTACACTTCAACATAATTGTTGAATATATTGAGATATTGGGGATATTTTTATATCTACATTTTTGTTCCAATATGTCAATACCAAAAATTTTGTCTTTTTTTTGTGGTTCTTCTTATGAGTTCATTAATTTATTGTTTGCTTCCATTGTAGATATTCTGGAAAACAAGATAAAACTTTCCAAAAACTTCAATAACCAATAAATACTGTTATAAACCTTTTACTACCATACCCAAATGAAGAAGAAACTCTTATTTCTTCTATCAGTTAAATTAATATAAATCGTATCTCATTAAAATATTTTTGTTCTCAAGTTCTTCATGAAAAAAATTCTAATGCTATTTCTCTTTTCATCGCTTAACCATACCTGCATATTGTTTCAGGTTTCAATCGCGATAGAGGAAATTACAGAGACTCCGATAGAGGAAACTTTAGAGATTCTGATAGAGGAAATTTCAGAGATTCTGATAGGAATAGGTTTGATGATAGAGATGACAGAAGAGGAGGATATGGTTCGAGGAGATATGATAATGATAGAGACCGTGATAGAAATGATGGCTTTACAAGAAGAGATGATAGGGATTCAGAAAATGCTCCACGTTAGTATATTTTGTTAGTGTGAATAGATTCTAGCCTAGGAAGTATTATTATAGCTTGTGATTTGTAATTCACAGCAGAACCGCGTGAGAGACCAAGGTTGATGCTGGCACCCAGATCGAAACCAGTGGAAACCTTACCTGTGAAAACTGAGACAGTGCCTTCAGCTTCGATATTTGGTAGCGCCAAACCTGTAGATACAAGTCAGAGAGAAAGGGAAATTGAAGAGAAATTGGCAAAGGGGCATTCCGACAAGCCAAGGGAAAGTAGTCCTGATAAAAAATATCCTAGTTCAGACGATGGAGATAAAAAAGATGTGAGTATATTACATATTTTTCTTCAAATAACTCTGTTGAGGAAGTGCAGGAGACACACGGTAGAATAATTATTTTGAGATATGGAGCTACAAAAACACCTGACATTAAAACAGACAAAACTTTTGAAACAACCAAATAATTAGTTTCTTCAAATAAATTCAGTGTAAATCTGAAACTTTTTGTGTTTCTCAAAACGTTATGGCATAGTTTCACTCTTTGCAGGTTGAAAGAAGCAGGCCTTCACGTAAAATAGAAAATAGTCCGTTAAGAGATAGGGATAATAAAGATGGTCCACCACCGAGGAGAAATTGTGAGTGTGAATGGAAAATTGTAAAGAAAATATTTCATGGTGTTTTTTTTTTTCTTCAGATGATGACAAAAGAGGACCTTCTAGGACTGAACAGAGGTCACCAGATAAAACTGATAACAGACATAGAAGTGAGAGGTCTGACAAACCGAGGCGTGAAGAGAAAAGGTAAAAAATGGAAGTTAGGCCTTCATCTGTCAAATTCTCAATGAGTAATGATTATATTTTTGACTTTCTATTGTCAAGGTTAAAAGGCTAGTTGTAATAGTTCATGAATGGTAAAGATTCATATCATCTTGCTACGTTGTCTGATATAGACTCCTCTTTTGTAAAAAAAACAACCTATAAATTGTTTGATATTATTTGTCTAAATAATTCATATTCCGAATTAAGGTTTGTTTTGTTTAATGGTTACAGTTCTTGTAGATCAGAAACTGTTTCAGTAGGTATCTCAAGTTCATCATTGAGAAATCAATTTCACATCTCGTCTGTTAGTTGGACCATGAACATACAACATCTAGACTTGGCCAGGGATGAATCCGTATGAACTCCATAGTGGACTCTTGTCGGACCTTGACTGGAGTCTTTGAAAGAACACTCATCGATAATAAATCATCGCTCAGACTTGGTCAAACTTTTTCAGATTTAGGGACATCAAAGAATGAATTTCTCTCGTTGAACAATGATTTGCAGGTTTTACTCACATTTATTTGGATTGTATGGAGTTCTGTTCCCTTTCACAATGACATTCGTGATCCTTCAATTAACCTATATATGTCTGAATTTTCAGGCTCATCTATAATCTGAGCAAATGCAAATAATGAAACAGGTTTAGACTAACTAATCGGAAAGTTTTTTACATGTCAATGTTCATAAGGAAGTTTGATCTAATTCCCATTAAGTAAGTTCTCTAAAAAATAACTGAGGATGAAGGTTTTTTCATTGGCTGTTTATAAATTGTTCCCATTCTTAAAACTTTTGTGGGAAGAAGGAGTTCAACATTAAGAAATTCATTTTTGGTAGTAAACAGTTGAAATTATGTTTGCATGCCTATCTGAACCTTGAGAGGTTGAATAAAACATTTCGAAATATCTGCTTTCATTTTTTTCACCTGTTAATTGCTGCAGAAGTACCTGTATCTTATTGATGAATCTGTCATAGCTGATATTGCAATTAAATTAATGTTTGCACAAAATGAACCAAACCACTATCTCTCATGAAAATTTTGAATTGTATTGATCGCGTTGTGGCACAAATGTTTTTAGTGACATGCATCCATCATTGGTATTCAATTGAAAACTTGGCAAATTTAGATACATAAATACAAAAAAAGCATGGCAATGTATTGACATTTTTAGAAAGCATCGGCTCAAAACTTCCCAATTCACACATTCAACTTATTATATAAAAACTGTTTTTTGAGAAAATTATTGTTTTGAGGAAAAATTCGTAGTTTCCTGTATAAAGATTAGGAAACTTGAAATAAAATGTGAGAAATATTCAGAAGTATAGATCATTCACAAACCAGAAGGAAAGTGCATCCTGAAACTTTTCCCAATTCAATATTTTAGAGGTGCTATTAATAATTTTAGTTAAGAATATGCATTCTACATTTTTCCCATTAAGATACTGCTCTCCTCTAACGATCTTTAGAATGTGATAGTATCATTTTTTAATGTGAAAAAATTCGATAGTAAGTCAAAAAAATTCGATCCTGATTTAATGTTGATCTGTTTCCTATAAAATCTTTTTTCTATTATTAACCTGCTGTTTACATTTATAAGAGTTTTATTTTGAAATAATTTTCTAATCATCACATTGAGAAAAAACAATTTAGTTAAGCTTTCTCTATTCAGGTTTTATATGAATATTTCATATGAATCCTCTTAAGCAACATGTTAGAAACAAAAAGAAATAACAATGATTTTGTTTAAACCTGTCAACAATCAACTTTTACATTTGAAATATAAGGCAATTGTTTATGTGTTTTAGGAGACCCAGCTTAAAGTTTGCCAATGTAAAAAGTCTCTACGAACCTCGATGATCTTGAGAACTCGCTTCTCAAAAAGTGTAGTTTGAGAGGTGTTAAGTTGAACTTCTAAGCAATTGGCAGCTGTATTTCACCACATAATTCTGACATCATTCAATTAGATTATTCATGAACTTTTGAATATATCTAGTACTTTGTAATATGTTACACAACTTCTGAATAGTCGAGATACTCATTTACTTTACATTTTCCTAGGGACAAGGAAATGCCAAAACTTGCAGAATTGGAACCACCAAATTTTGCTGCTAATAATAAATTCGCATTTTTGGACCCTGAAGATGGTTTGGACTAACAGTTTTTTGTGAATATTGTAGAGGTGTACATACTTTCATATGTAATAAAATAAAAATTTTAATGTAAGTGGTAATCATACGTATTTTACATATTTATTGTTTTAGTGATAGAAATATATTTTTTGTTAAAATACAAAACTCTTTGTATGTGTATAATCTTTGCTGCAATTTTTTTATTGTAATTTGTTTTGATAAATTACATTTTTTCATTGTATTGAGTTCATTTTTTATCACTGATTGGATAGTTTGGACTATCACTAAGAAAGGTATGTTTAACGTGGTTGAAGATTTTATAAAAAAAATATTTTTGGCTACTTTCCTATAATACAATATTCTTGTGGAAATATTTGTTTTGGGCGGGCTTTTACTTTCAGTTTGTATGTGGAAGTAACTGCTTTGCATGATCTATCGTCTTTCTATAGAGTTTATTTTGAACTTGATGCTTAATAGTTGGCATTAAATCAACTAATTGTAGCCATCATGATGACATGGGTAAATTTGTCTCTTTGGGTGACAATGTTATGAATGAAACAGTTGCCTCATTTTGTAATGTTTTCACACTAAAAATTATGCTGTAATAAGACAGGTGTCTTATTTTGAAGTATGCTATTGAGGATGTTCTATGTGGAAGTAGAAAGCCAACATTTTTTTCAAGAATCTAATTAAAAAAATATACCCTATTCAATGGTAAGAGATATTTTAGGATGCCTAATTATAACAATCAAAATTTTTATGAATACTAAGATTTTTAATTTTATCTGATCTGAGAGTAATTTTGCATTGAATGAGAACATGGTTATATTTTTTAAATACTCTTGACCATCACATGAAAGATCAATTCGTTTGTGAAAGTTTTTGTTGGTCCCAGTCAATATCTTCGTAAAATCTGGGATCACTGATCCTCAAAGCTGCCCTTTTATAATAATAGTAGTAAATCGACGAAGCTGAAAAACATAGAATTGAAATGAAAATGGTTCAACAAAAACTCAACTTACAGAATCTCTGTATAATAAACATGACCAAGAATGCACTTGTCCACGAGTGACTGAAGTTATTCCATCTTAGCGATATCAACCAAATATTAACGGCAGTTGTGAGAATAAAATACCCCATACAGACTAATAGTGTGTTACGAAACCTTTCATAGAGTAGGTAAACTAGTCCAGTCTACAAACAATTGTTTGGAAATAAAAATTAGCACTTAATACAAACCACTCACTTGGAAGACATGGGTTGAAAAGAAAACGGCCAGTAATGCGGACAAATCCAGTATCAAACAAGCGTCTTGGATTCTATAAAAAGTGGTTGTATTTTTTGGATTAATAAATTAAAAATTGCACTTACATGAACAGAATTAACATTACAGAATTACTTTCTCTAGCATATAATAAAACAACATTGATTATAAAGTCGATTAACAAGAGTAATGTTTGAGAGAAAAGAACTGCAGTGTATCGCCTTGTTGTGAGTTTCATTTTGTATTAACTATCTCAATATAATTTTCTATTTTCTCTACATCTTTCCAAACATTTCAAATATTGATTTCATTTATTGACATGCGCAACACCCGTCACCTTAGACACTTTCCTTTTGGAGACTGACATTTGACATTATGACATTTGAATATCACAAATCATGTTTTTGGACACGTATTTAATTATACTTTAAAAAACATTATTTGTGAACAAACCTTGTTCAGTGGCAATGTCGGAAGGAAAGTGTTTAACAAAAAGAGCAAATTTTCTAATAGACAAGTTCTTAAACCGTATTTTCATAGGCAGCAATCACTGCAGACGCAGTGCATCCACACTTTTATGTAGATGGTAACTAAACTATAAATACAATAAAGAAGCAGAATGACAGAATATAAAAAAAGAAGTTGCGTTTCTTGACAGTTCATTCAAAATATTTGTTTTTGTCAATAATATAATATTTAGATTCAATAAACACAGATAACAATACAAATTTTGATTGACAAGGGCCTATTGTTTCGTAAAACTTTTTAATACATCCGTGAAAGCGCTGCTGTCTAAATTGTTTCCTTGAATGGTATAATAGTTCCGACGTGCAGCCATCTAATTTATGACCAGATCAATCGAAAATGTATGCGCAAGCGACCAGGGGAGAAAATACTTTGCTGACCAGAAAATGTTCTCCCAAATAGGACTTTCCCAATACGAATAACACGCTGATATTGGAAAACTCATGAATTTCACTTGATATTTATGCCACCATATATAAAAATACAATCAACCCTTATATGGGGAAGGTTTACGTTTGTGATTTTTGAAAATATTTTGCTAACGGGGGCCTTACCATAGGAATATTTCAATCTAAATTCAAAATTTCATATTACTTAAAATTTACTTCTTTCTTCCTATCTTTGGAAATTTTCTACATTTTCTAAATGTAAATGGAGAAGCAGAAAGCAAAAACCTTTCTTTCCCAGAGATTTTTTATGTTTTTTCAGCACCTGAAAAACAGCAAGTATTATGTGTGGACATCTGACGAGATGGAAGTTTGTCAGAAGATTGTTTATTATCTCCAACAGGTCGTATTCAAACGAACGCCAAACACCGCTAGAAAAGTTGCACTAAAGTCACAGGTGAAAACGCTACAAAACGAGAAACAAAAACTGAAAAGAAAATTGATAACTTGAAAATTAGATCTAAAACACAACTTATTTATTATTCAACAAACACCAGGTCTTGCCACAGGTCTCGTCACTGGTGCTAGGCTGAACCACAAATGCATTGCTGGACTCAACATGCCTGAGTGAATAAGGGCGATGAAACCATCCATGGGATTTTCAGAATTAGTCATTGATTCCGAACACCTTGTATAACATTTTGAAAATGTTACACCTACAAGACGATGGAATGAAGTATTTTGATGAATTAATAATAACCTATTGATGTATTTAATGATATAGTTTTCATTATAAAAATAAAATAAAAACAACAATAGAAATTAATTGGCGCTCCGGGGCGACTTCATTGATTCCAGTAGCGCATTTGCTTTTTCAGCTGCAGGAAAACCCGGAAAAACCTGCAGCACCACATCATCTGAAGATCTTGATCTATGATTGATGTATTCTATCAAAATTTTGATATATATGGTTAACGAAAAAAAATATTTCAACCTAAAGAATAGCAAAGACATTTGCCTATCATCAGTTCATTCATATTGTTTTTAATTTACGTTCTTCAATAATTATTTTCTTGGTAAAAACAATAAAAGAATATCATATTGAACTTTCTTGATCCACATTTAAATGAGTAGTTTCATTTTCATTCAAAGACAATTATTCTCTGAAACCCGATATAATTCTACGATTTGAACGCCGCTGCATTGGTAGGTTTCAATCTCCCAAAATGGTGGAGTTCAATGAAAATATATTCCTCAAATCAAAGGTGCTGCTTTCGAGTGTCCCTTGTGAGTGTTCATTATTCAGGGGATGCACGTTATGCTTAGATGGTATGAGGTTTATGTTCAGGATCATTTCAAATAAGCTATCAGATACCCCTTTCCATTCAAAAATTTCAAGAAAGTAACTTCTGGGGGCAAACTATAAAACGGAGGAAAACAGTTATTACCAGAAAGTTATCCACTTCAATTTTTGATGTGATGGTAATCTTCAGATTTTGAGATATTCCAGGTGGGAACAACATTTATGTTTTTTGTTATTTTAATTTGATCAACATCACACCTACCTCTCACTTATATGAAAACTAAGAACCTGATTGCTTCCATTAGTTAGATTCATTTTATTATTTGTGATGATTTACAAGTACTCACTTATTAACAAATATCTCTGAAGTTTTATCCCAACACCAAACCGTTATTTTAACACCTTAATATATGTTTCGATCACCAAGTGATCATCTTCAAGAGGAGCGAGTTTATTCTTCCTCTTGAAGATGATCACTTTGTGATCAAAATACGTGTCGAAGTGTTAAAATAACGGTTTAGTGTTGGGATAAAACTCCAGTAATATTCATTACATCAAAGGTTCCAAACAGTACATCACAAGTACTCACTTGTATCCAAACCATTAGTTATCTTTTAATATGATGTACAATAATTTCTGGTAGTTTATACCAGAATCACTTATTCACAGTAGGCATATATTCTTTTTTGATATTATGTTATCATTCGATACAATATAAGTATACATTCGGTCGGTAGCCAGGCGGTTCGACGTGGGTGCTTTGTTCACTCACTCGAATTGACTGTCGTGTTGATCGGTGGTTCAAGCCCTAGTCTGAATGATCGATTTTCACTTGATATCATCCAACCCGTGTTAGGAATCACACGTCAAAAGGTAATACCTCGTTAATCCTTAGCTCGCCCAAGTTTCCACTTCTGAGGGTTCGTAGGGATGCGACAGCTGGTTAACGGAAAAACAGAACAGATTTTAAACAGACAGATTATCACTTGCATCACCTCATATAAATTTTTTAAGGTCACTGGACCATAATAAACTGTGCCAGGATTTTCATTAGTTTGCGAGTAAAATAAAAGTATTTTGTCTAAATTTTTGGAGTATTTTGTGCAATTTCCATCGACAACACTACTCATAGTATATATGGTCATACTTGGTTGATGAACTTCCTTTTTGTTTGTGACCTTGTATGAGAATTGTGTTGAAAACTATCCCTTTTCTCTCTCTGTGGTACTTCCCAATAAAAAAATATATACAAAAAAAGGCTGTCAGTTCCTGTTCAAATTTTATATAATTTTATTATACCTTTTTTTAAATTTTAGTTATACATGAGCATAATTTGATGTGATAAGACATTATTCAATAGTTTTGCAATTTTCAATAAGCAGCATATGCAGGAGCCCACAACTTCACTGAATAATAAAAGGTATCTAAGTGAATCCTAAAAATAACCAGAAAGAGATATGAAAGGAACAAAATTTATTTAAAGCTAGTTTAATATAATACAAACTATATGAACAATAAACTCTTGAATTTTATACATGTATACAAATCTTATTACACGACAAAAAAAAGCTATGGATAAAGCTAAGGCAATTAATAACAATCAACAGATACCAGTTTATGAATATTTTTACTTAACCTTTTCAATCAATAGCTACTTAGATTAACTTCACTCAGCATAAAAAAACCTGTTGTTTGGCACTATTCATTTTGAAATAGCTTTTTCCACATGACAGTCAGAATGGGACACTTTTCGATAGCAGTTAAAATCTGCTTGTGTTATGGTGGGCCCACATTGGCTCAACTAAATTTTTTTCAAGTATTTCTTGGATAAAATTAGATTTTTTAAATCTGTGTCAATAATATTAAGGTTTTTTGTTGAAGTTTCAGAAGTGATTCATTTTCCATTCTATTATCCAACAATTTTTAGACTTGAAGTTGTATGACCACTGGCTTCAAGAATTTCGTTAGAACTAAATTTGACAATAAGAGTAATAACAAATCCAAAGCACAGCTCTATGAACTTGTAATAATCAAAAGCCTATTGAATATTTATGTAATTAGTTTTTGAAGATAGGTCAACATCATTATTTTTTCTACATTTTCTTGCTCTCACATATATCATATTTTTTTTTAAATTCAATATTATAAAAGGTTTGTTTTTATTATAATACTATTTCATTATAAAGAAGTGGGTAAAGTGTGTAGCCTACAAACTAGAAAAATACTTTAGGTCTACTCTCATATGCAATCAAAAAGTATCAACAGCAGTATTTAAAAATAAATTTATTAGTAAAATAAACGTGACTTCATATTCACCAATTATTTTTAGAAAAACTACTTTTTTTGGAACCATTCAATTCTATTTTATATCTGGCAAAAAATATTCCTTTCTAACATTGTTAAAAATTTACAATAAGCATTGCACAATTGAACATGTATAAAACAAAATTATTGGAGACAGGAGTACACATGTATAAGATTCTGTACACTAGTTTCAAAAAAAAAGTTATTTTAGTAAACAGGGTGACAACAAGAACTAAAATTCTCTTAGCTCAGATATTACTGAATAATCATAATCTATTCAACATATTAAGGACAGTTCAACTGATAAATATATTGTAAGAACTATTAAACTAATTAACTCTAAAAAAAGTCAAGTTGTCAGTGAAGTTTGTGATCCTACTTGTTAAAACAAATATATAGACAGAAGATTGAGAATGAAAAAACTGAAACACTAACAAAATCATCTCTCTTCTCATCACCCTGTATTGTTTAAAGAAAATGAGTTCCTTTAAAATGATTTAAAAAGTTTTCCAAATGTCTCGTCGTTATCACCGTCACTATGGGCACTTTTCTCAATCTGTCTTAAATGTTTAAAATTGAAAACCTCCCATTGGTACTGACTGATCCGCACTGAACTGATATTGTTGATGATCGGCATCTATTGTTGGGGCGACGGTGGCGTCCTCTTCCTCGGTTCCGAAAAAGTGTTCTATTATATCAAATGCTTTTTGATATATCTCCATATTCTCGTGGGACTGCAAGAATTCTATTTTATCTAGGCCTGCAAAAAATTTATTCAGTATAATTACAAATATATAGGGTGGCTGTCTAGTGCCAAGATATCATTTGGAACAATACTCAACAGCAATGAAATTTCTCAGACCAACATGTTGCTGTGGAAGAGAAAATATCTGAAGTCATGGACAAGACAAAGAGCAAATAAGCTTTCATTAAACTTTAAGAAAATCCATTTCTTCAGCAGGAAATACAAACTTTTCCAGGTTAATCCAAATGACAACATCCTAGAGGTAAAATTGACCTCAAATTTGGATTTCACATAGATACTGAACTTAAACTGGAGGAGCCCATAAATAATCTGAATAAAAAACTTGCATTATCAAGTCGGGATCAAGAGAGTTAGGTACAAAATTTGCAAGTTATGCCTACTTTGCCTTTGTAGATGTACATATTAGATATGGCATTGCCATCTGAGGAATATGTAGCACAGACATGCTGCAAACTGTTTTTATCTTATGAAAAAGAGCTGTCTGGATTGTGCGCGGGACAATGTCAGAGATCTCTGCAAACCACTATTCTTGTTACTGTTTTGAAGACGGGTTTTTCCTAAATTTCTCAGAGTTTATTTATTTATTTATTTATTTACGGGTAACTCCCATTTAATATAAGTTAGACAAATATCAGATTGTTAACACTAATCTTATCTAATTTAATTATAATTAATAACAATTTAAACAGTTATAGTAGAGAATTGAAATGAAGCGAGAATAAAAGTAAATGACAGATACTAGCAATTTAAGAATAAGTATATCTTAACTTATTTCTAAGAATATCCTCGGAAATATGAAAGAGATCGAATTTTGTATTATTCCCGTTTGTGACTATTCTTGATAAAGGAGAATGCATTCCATAGTTACACCTATGGTAATCTATTGCAAAGGTTAGATTATTTCGTGTTTTTCTAGAGGGAACATGAAGATTTACTTGGGCAAGAAGAGTTGAACAATTAATTCTAAAATTAAGCAATTTATGAAGGAATATAATATCTATATGATCTCTGCATAAACTAAGTTTCGGTAAACCAGTTACAGACCGAATTTCTGAAAAAGAGTGATCACTGAGAGGTATAGTTACACTGATTTTTATAAAAAGGGTCACAAAAATATCAGTAATTACCGACCCATCTCCTTGATTTCTAACATATCAAAATTAATTGATTTGGCTTATAAAATTAGATTGATCAATTATTAATAAATAACAAATATAATGAATTAAAAGATTTCAAATATTAGTGGCGTCAGCAACTGAAACCAGTTTGAACCAATTCGAATTAATGACTAAATTGAGGACCCAATTCGAGGACCAATTCTAGATCTCGAGGTACAAACCGATGACATCAGATTATTACCATCATTATTTCACAATTACTTCCAATATCTCACGTTGGTGTCGAGTCTAAGGACATAGCCTATCACGCCGATGACAAGCGTTCAACTCTCCGATCTTTTTTAATTCCCCAATGACGTGTACACTCCGATTGGTGACAGGACACCACGTGAGAATTAGGTGTACTCTGGTTGATTGGGTGATCTGTTTGCCTTGTATGGCGAGCTGAGAGGCAACCTAGCTGGTGTGATGACGTCACAGTCTGCCTGAATAAGGGCTACTTCGGCAAATCTTCGGAAGTCCTCAGAAACAGTTGAGATTTTGACTGTTTTTTTCAAATTTTTGTCTTATTAACGGGGACATAATTATTTTATTACATTATTTTTATTGTTAACAATTGAACATCAGATATTTACTTAATAAGTAAGGTACCTGCGTTAAGGTCTTTTTTGATGCATTTCAGAGAAATCGTAGATCTATAAGTTATACTTCAATTGATTATTTGAAGAATGTATGTTTCTGAAGAGAATTTTTTAGAAAACAGCTGCTATCCCTAATCTTTAGGAGATATTACAGTATTATTTTTCTATAGTTCAACTTCCAAGTAATTATTTTAAAACGTTATTTTTCTGTGTCCTCTGACAGAAGTATCAAACTGAGTTTTGTAGTGTTTTCAGAGATATACTGAATTGACAATTCATTCCTGAATGATGAAAACAGATTGTAGTAGCTCGACAAGGATTAAAGTTAATTAGTATAAATACCTGCATTTTCTTTGCTGGTAAAAAATATAATGCAATTTTGTTTGCAAATGATCTGACAATAATTCACTTTAAACCCTGTCGTGTTTTTTTCATCTTTCAGGATAATTTTATCAATTTGCTATTTTTATGAAGAAAACACTTTACGCTCTTGTTTTTCAAAATTAATGCTATGACACGTTCCTTCAGTTTTTGTCAGTTTTAGCACCATTCATTGTGAGAACACTTTCAATAAAAAATACTTCACTTGGTTCTTCAACTATGAAAGTTTCAGGAAATGAGACTATGTAGAATATATTTTTTGTCAAAGAAAACAAGAAACAAATCAAAATTTCTTTGGAATATATCATGAAAAATAGTTCAATGTTCAAGAGAAAGAAAGTACCCGGTTACTTTTCTTGAAAAAATTCTGCCCAAATGATAATTTACCTAATTTTATTTTACCAACAATTAGATTCAGCTTCTAACTGAAAGATGTCAATATCTCATTATCTCTATAATATCATAAAGTTACTTATACGAACCGAAGAAAATAATATTGATGACAGTTTATAAGTATTTCTATTCAAATGGCATGTATTGTGATTCACAATTCGAAGTTTAATGATTATAGCTTTCGTGATAGGTACTTAATCTATCAAGTTTTCACTTTTTATATTACTTTATGTGTGGCAAAATAATAGTAAGTTTTTATTTCACATGTTGAATATCGATACCACTCAATAATCAAGGCAACAATAGCTGAATAACCCAATATAATATGTTAGCAAATACATAAATAACTTTCCACATTTTATCAGCCCATCACTTGAAACACTAAAATGTTGTTCAACAAACACTTGAAGTGCCCACATTATTTTCCTGTTTTCGAATAATAATTACTTTAGTAATTCCAAATTACCTCTTTATTTCGTAATGTTTTCGAGGATTTCAAAGTGTATTTTATGGCAGTGCCCCAAACAGAAATCAAATATTGGAGTTTTTAATGGTAATATTCTCTCCCTCTGATTTTGAATATGTGTGGACCATGACAAAGGTTGATCTGTCATAATCACACACCAAAATAATCAAAATTTTTGTTTGGGAGGCTGAACTAGCATCCACCAATTAAATTTTACTTTATTTGCGGCAAAGAAATACGAAGTTTTTATTTCACATGTCCAATCTCTTGATACCAGTCAATAAGTCTATAATAATAATAATAATATTTATTACTCTCAAGAAACACACAGTTTTTAGACACGTCAATACAATTTCTAAAATAGGTTTGAGAGGGTAAGATTTGTCAATATAGTTTTAAAAAAATGCTTGTAGATAAATTAGATTTACAAAAAAAAAATACAAGTTAACAAGATAAAATTCCAATCTTATAAGACTTGACTAAAATATAAAGCCATGAGCTTTTACAAATTATAAACACATAGCTAACGTATTATATATATTCAAAGTTGAGTAAAAGTTCGGGAGGTGACCACAAAAGTGTCTCTTTCTTCTTGGATAACTTCGAAAAATTGATCAATTTCATATAAAGGATGTTTGGTGAATATTTTCTTCAAGTTTTTGAATCTTCTAAATGGCAAGTTACGAAATTCGGCAGATAAGGCGTTGTATATTAATTCCTATATTATCTGTTCTTTTCAACCTATTAGCTGTAGGAACAAAGTTTGATTTATTTCTTGTGTCATGTTGGTGTATATCCTTGTGAGCAATCTGCTTCTTGTTCAACAAGTTTTGTTGAACAAGAAGCAGATTTTCATAGACAATAACTGAATATAGGGTCATTATTTTAAGTTTAACAAATATTGGTCGACACTTTTCATCATAATTGGCAGAGATTATGCTTCTTACTGCAGATTTTTGAATGACAAATATTCTATTAAGATGTAAAGATGTACCTTTGATGCATTATTTCAATTGATTATACCATACCTAAGGACTGAATGAAAAAGAGAATGATATGTTGCAAGTGCCGCACTTTGATTTACTATTTTTTTGATTCTTCTGATAGCAAAAACCGTCTTCCTAAGTTTACTACACGTTATTTATGTGGTCTATCCATTTCAGGTTGGAATCTATTTGTACTCCCAAAAATTTGGTAGAATTTTTGTTATCTCGATTTAAGCAAATTGTTTCAAAATTTAGAGTTTCTGTTTTTTTGTTCATTGAGAATCAAGTCATTTGGTGTGAACCATGATCGAGCTTTCTCTAATATGTCAGTATGGATCATATGAGGATCACCTATTTTATACATTTTTTGCCCAAGGTTGCATCATCTGCATACAATATAGTTTCTATGCCTGTCGAGTTCATCACGTGAGGTAGGTCGTTGATATATATTAGAAACACAAGTGACCCCAATATTGACCCTTGTGGCACTACTCTTAATATTTTTCTTTTTTCACTTTTGGTATTTCCTAGATCAACAATTTGATATCTTTCGTTAAGGTATGACTTCATCATGTCCAGGCAGACACCTCTCATAGATAATGATACTCAGTGGTTAAACAATATTATTCAACTAACGACACTGAAATGTAGAAGAAAATAATTTCACGGATAAGTCACTTAAGAGAAGGTTGAAAACTTCAAATATATTTATGGAAATAGAAAGTTACTCCTTCTGTCAAGCCAAATTAGACAAGCACCTTGAGTATTGCTGATTGTGAATACTATTCAGAGAAGTGGTTTACACTCAAATAGAATAACCGAGTTAAATTTGAAATAAAAGTTTATACATTGATAAGCCTTTTGATCTATAAATATTTTAGTATCTGGGAGGGTGAATCAGTATTTCTCAAGGTTCAGTTCTTGGACCCACTTCATTCTCAATATAGAATCACCATTATATAAATTTATTCGCTGATGATCACTCAGTCTATTTTAACTTTCATCTAAAATATGTACAAGATACCACTGCTCGGATCTTTTTTTGGAAAAAAGTTTTTTGGCTTGCCACTTTTACATCATTATACAAAAAATGTGAGTAACTTCCAAAGAAAAGGATAAAGAGGTGGTTCTGTAAAGGGTTCAGTGAAAATCTTACGACACAGTGTTAAATTTTCATCAAGGATTGGCCAATTTCATCATATATCTTTATTAGGGAAAGTAATTCAATGAATATCAATATCCATCTGCCGTAACCTAACCTAACCTCCCATTCGTATCTCAATGTGAGTTTAAAATCACTCACTTGCCTGGCATAGGAGTATCAGTTTTAGAAAATCCCTGTGACTTGCAGCATGCTGAAAATATTGCGCTGATTTTCTTCAGTGCAGTAGAAATCTGAAATAATTAAATGACACAAATCATAAATTCACTCACCATAACATTCTTCAATGAGCACAGCATAAGGATTTGTACCATTTTGTGCTTTGGCATCCTGTTCCCCCAATCGCAAAATATTTTCCAAGCCATTGAGTGCCACATGAACAATCTTGGCATCCATAACAGTGAGTAAATCGCATAACGGCCCAATGCAATTTTGGCTCACTAGATAGCGGATTTGATCAGGCGTACCGCCACTTGTCGCATTCGTAATTGCCCAGGCTGCTTCTTTACGAGTCTTGAACTCAGCCTTGCTTAGAATTTCGATCAGAACCGGAAAGATATTTGCTTCGATCACAGCCTGAAGAATAATTTTCAAACAAAGTGATATCATATCATTAAATAAATTGTTTATACCAACCTGTATTTGTTGACGGTTTCCGGCAGTGATATTACTGATGGTCCAACAAGCTTCTTTCCTAACTGATTCCTTTTGAGACGACAGTAAATGATGGAGACAGGGTAGAGCGGAACAGTTCAGTACGACCTGGGTTTGAACATCATCGCCAGTAACAATATTACCAACTGCCCTTAGAGCGGCGGAAACAACATTGGGAGGTTGTGCCATCAAGAGCTCCACTAATCTTCTACATACGCCAGCATCTACTACGGCCTGATATAAAAAAAATACTTACATTTCAAACTTGATACAACAAAATTAATCACAAACACATCTGAGAATGGTAGGTAACTCCTCGTTGTTTTCAATTTCATATGTAAACTTTATATCGAAAAATCTGTTAAGAGTCGAAACAAACTGCTGTATTTTGATTTCTTCTTTCAACTAGGAATCGGTTCAGAACAATTACAGGGCTACTCAATGGACACTGTCATTTGAGAGGACACCTCATTAAAATAGGGTTGTACAATGAAGACATTAGTTACAGGGAATGCAAAAAAAGGGACAGACAGCTCAGCTCGTCATATTTAATGAAAATGTGAGGCACTCGATCACAGGAGACGACCCAAACTATGTCTAGAAGTATATGATGTACATCCAGCAAGGGACTTCTACCTACAAAAACTAGTACAACGAACGAGATTGTAAGAATCACTGTCATAAACTATACTAATTAGACCCCAAAAAAGGTCCTAGACCTGACGGAATAGCTCCTTTATTATTAAAGAAATGTAGATCTAGCTTGGCAAAACCTTTGTTTTTACTATTTACTGCATCACTTAATTTAGGACAATTTCCACGTTCTTGGAAATCTAGTTTTACCACCCCAATATTTAAATCAGGGGATAAAGCAAATATACAAAATTATAGACCAATCACAATCTGCGATCAAATAAAAAATCCACTGAACCAAGTTATTATACAACCACCAGATCATTGAAAACAGTGTGTTTTCAAAATTTTTAGGTCTATACATTGACAACGGTCACAAATTTAATGAACATGTCAAAAACCTGAATGAAAAATTGTCCTCTGGTTGCTGTAAAAATTGCTGCAAACGAACTAGGTTACACAATCGCAAAGTCAGCATACTACTCCTTGATAGAGTCACATTTGCGATATGGTATCCCATTCTGGGGAGTGTGCAGTGGAAATGTTCTTCAAAGTGTTTTTGTTTTACATGTAGAGTTCACTTCAAGCAACATAACCTTCTTACGATAGTGCGTATATTTATACTTGAAACAGTGTGTCTCATTTATAAACATAAACAAAATTTCATTACAGATAGTAGATATGCCACCCGCCAAAGTGACCATATCAAACTACCTTTACCATATTCCACTCTAGTTAAGGACTCCATTATATATAACGGCTGCAAGATGTACAACCAACCACCTTCCAAATTATATCAAAAATATACAGTCCAACACTGGCTTCAGAAAAGCTGTAAAAAGCGTTCTTTCCAATAGAACCTATTATAGTTTGAAAGAATATTATGCGGATATAATAGACTAATAATAAATATACCAAAACTTTACATTTTGATATTATATACCTACTATTATTTGTTATATTTTAAATTTTGAATGAGTGACTGATTGCTTTTTAACAATTCAATTTTATAAAGTAGTATACTAAGTAAATAATTATCTAAATGTTATTCATATAATTTAATTTAATTTATTTTATTTATACAGGCTTTGTCAACAAGATGTTATTCTTTGATAATAAAGCATATTTTGATTGATTGATTGATTGATTACAAGTGCAGCACGGTTTTTGCCTGGATGAATTAACAACTACAAATTTGCTAACGTTAACCCAATTTGTCTTGAATGCCTTGGAACAAAAGTACCAAGTGGATGTAATTTACACAGACTTTTCTAAGACATTCGACACAGTTAATCATGAAGTATTGCTTAGGAAATTTGAAGTGATAGATTCATTGAACTGGTTTGCAAGCTATCTTCGAGATAGAAATCAATATGTAAAAGTCAAGAGTTTCATATCTGAGGAGATTTACGTCACGTCAGGAGTGCCACAAGGAAGCCACTTAGGCCCTTTCTTGTTCAATATATTCATCAATGATATTGAAGAAATAATCGAACATTCAAAATTTCTGCTGTTTGCAAAAGATCTTAAAATATTTAGCACTGTCATCAACAAGCAACGATGTGGGAATGTTTAAAGGGACCTCACCTCAATTGTGAGGTGAAGTTTGCCATCACTTCTAAAAAAACAATACATAGATGTGTATATGGACTCAGTTATAGTCCTTGGGTTTAATCTTAGTTTTTATTTTTTTGGGTATATTTTTTTAGGTTTAATTTTAATATTGATCTTAGTTATAAGTATTTATGTACACCTTTGTAAAAACATGTTTGTATATTGGGTGCTGCCCCTTAGATAAGTAGATGAATAAATAAAAGAAGTGATGCTCATGGCAGATTAGTTATAAAAGAGGACAGATTTTCCAAAATCTTTGTATATGTTATGTCAAAAACGTCTATATCAATTGATTTAATTGCATAATGAAAATATTGTACTTTTCTAGTGCAAAATCAAAAATGAAAACTATCGAGGAGAGATACATACGTATAAGAAAATGAATATTTCAAAACATTAATCTCTTCCAACTACCTACACATTAGGCTCTGGTAAACGTCTGTCGGAAAACAACTACTTCCCCGGCTAATACCACGCTGGATATTGAACTATATCCGACAGACATTTATCAAATAAAAATATGCTTTATTACCCAAGATTTGAACAGCTCGTTGGCAAAGAATAGTAAGCCAAAACGTGTATATGGGTCATTAAATTAACAAATACAAGCTATTGAATAATGCTCGGAAACCAGAGCAGTGAATATGGACAGAACAATATTAAGTCCGGCTGAACAGATACAAATATAAGTACATGAATTTATGAATATAGAATAAATGTAAATATCCAATACATTTCATGTTGATTTTAATAACTTGTGTACATAAAGATACTACTACGTGCCCCAATTACTCGATAGAGCCTTGGTAGAATTAGTCCAGACCATAATAGGGACTCAACCACCAAATATTTCATTTTCATATTTCTAGTACATGTGTTGAAGAATATGTTATGTACTAAAAAAGGAGTTAAAAATTTAAAAATATTTTCCTGAAGAATATTTGTATTACCTGAATTTTTTCATTAGGTCCATCGGACAAATAGCTGAGAGACCAACAAGTGTCTGATAAAACATCAGGATCAGTGTGGAACAAAAGTCTAGCAAGTATCGGCAGACATGGAGCAACCTTCGTGAAATCGGGTGGTGGGTTTTTACCCCTGCACAAATTTGAAAGAGCCCATACAGCGTTTCTTGTCATTGTCAAACGAGTAGATTTACTAAGTAATCTGTAAAGAGAATCAACATTAAAAAACAAGTAGGTTGAAATGTTTTGTCATCCCCATTCGAAAAGCAACAAATTGAACCAAGTAATGGTTCAACTTTCCTAAGGCAAATAAGCTGAAAAATTTTCATTGCTTACTGTAAGAGAGGAACCAATATCCCAGAATCTAAAACATGGTCTCGACATTCTGGAGAATCACCAGCTATATTTCCGAGTGCCCAAACAGCTTGTTCCTGAAAAATAAACAGGTTTCAAAGAATTTACAAACTGGATTTTTTTAGATGAATTACCTGAACATCTTCATAAGTGCTACCTAAAAGTGCCACAAATATGGGTACAGCTCCTGCATCGATAACCATCCTAGTTTGTTGAGAAGTACCAGACGCTATGTTTGTGAGGGCCCATGCAGCTTCAAACTATAAAATACATAGACGGTTGTAAATCGAATAAAATCAAAATATTCTTTATTACCCAAGATCTGAACATCTTATTGGCAAAGTCTAGTAATGCACACAATTTTTATGCCGACGGAATTAATTGACTTGTGTTAAGTTGGCAAAAGTGCGCTGATTCAAATGACTCTTATTTTGATTAAATTGAGATATTACCGTATAAAGTAGACTCAATTTGACTTTGGCATCAATCACTGCTTTGATTGAGATGAAAAAAAAAAGCAGTGACGTGATTCATATTCATTATCTGTGAAATTTAAATTTTTTCACGAAAAAAAATTCCAATGTGGGGTTATATCTCAAAATATTGAATGAAATTATTTGAAAAATTTTTCCTAAATACAATTTTCAGTCCAAATTACAAGTTTCACTAGCATAAGATGATTTTGATGATCTCTCTTTTTTTGTAAATTGCCCCAGTATTGCAAAATAAGACTCAGCACAATATATATAAAATTCCTTTGTTTTCCCAATGCTTAATTCCATACACTGGATAGATTAACATTTTCTAATGAAAAAAATCATAATATGTATAAAAATTAAACACATTCACAATTCCACTTTTTTAATCAATGACAAGTATTCCCGCTTCATTTACTTGAACTGTTTCCGTAATATTCAAATGTATTTTTTTTTTAGACACAAAGTACCTTTTCAAAAATCGATATTTCATAATGTTACCTTCAACAAATAAATTTTACAAGGCCTATTTTCATAGCCCTATTTCGATTTTATAGAAAAACACACTTTCAATATGGCGCCAAAAAACGTGTTTGAAATGAAGCATTATCAAAACTAAGAAATTTTAAGTAGATTGCGCTGACTCTCATTTTGCAGAAATGGTGCATTTCAAAAAAAAAAAAAACAAAATATGGACTTAAACTTTTATCAAGAAAAACTTTTTCTAATAACTTTTTTTGATATTCTGAAAAATCACCTCATTATTGGATTTTTTTTGTAAAAAACTTAAGTTTGCCAAATAATGCAAATCATGTGATTGTGGACTTTACTGGTCACACTGTATACGCTATGTATCATCAATGAAGAACAAACATTATGATTATATGTGTATATGTTTGTATTTAATTCGCCTCAATTATCCACAGAGAGTGGAAATGGACGGAATATGATGTAATAATCTTCAGACAATGAAGTATATATGATTATATTTGAAATCTTTTTTCATTAATTAGAGAAAACTTTGATTATCAAGCAGTAAAATTTTAATACTCCACTGCTTGCACAGTTTCTGAGAGATACATCACGAAACTTGATCATTAGGCCTGACCAACCATATTTCTGATTGAGATATGTATACTGACAAGTGTTCTTGTATCTGAGGAATATGACATCATTGAAAACGTAAGAAATTATTGTGAAGTTATTTGAATATCAAAAATTTCTTGTTTTACAGTTCCTGTGGATTTTGTTGGAGTTTTCAAGAACATGCCTACCAAAAAAAACGCTACCAAGATTCGGATGGATGTGCGCGATAATATTGCTAGAAATACTAAAATTTTCATATGCTCAATTTTGTAGAAATAATATCCATAGTGATAGATGAACATTTTCACAAACATTTTTTATTTCTAGACGCCTTTCGATATGGAGGGAGTTATGGTGTAATGGAATATAGTTTCCACCTTATGAAGGAAGCTACGGTGTTGGCCTCAACCAATGAGATGATTCACAAATATTTCCACATTCATGTTTCCACTACAAAACCCACCCTCCTCTCGACTAGGAACATAAATACCTTTGGACCCACCGTCGAACTGGGGAGTAGGCAGATTGAGACCTAAATCTATAAACTGTTGGGATACATACATGAACACAAAAAAAACATTCAACCAAATGAAGTAATATGTATGACTGCAATACAAGGCGCAGTAATTTCTTTGAAGTAAAACAATTTACCTTCAATTTCTTCAAAAAATCCATAGGATAAAATGGAGTCAAATCTCAACACTTTTTCAAATTATGTGTGGTTCTGAAAATGCTGCTGGATCACATTTTTCACACTCTTCAAGAATTCAGACTTCTTTCAAAACAAAAAAAAACACCACCAATAATCTAAATGTTGTTAGTAAATAAATATGAATGTGTTGTCAATATATCAAAGTCATGAATGAATTTTTCAAAATGTATATTTCAACAGAAAATGTTATATCTTTTCATTATTATTTCTCTAACGCCTAGCCTAATCTGCATTACTATGTAGCAAATTAGATGAATAAAACTGATGATATACAGGCAATTTAGATTGTTTGTTTCATTACCATGTGTACATTCTATGCTATATTGGAGACTATTTACCTCAGTGCATGAAAATGAAATAGTTGAAGGCTATGCAGCCTTTGCAGATTTTTACAGGTATTGAATACACTGGAGTGAAAGGTATTCCTAGTTCATGTGAATCCTAAAATTTGGATTTCAAACCCACTTTTTTTTTAGTTTATTTTACCATTTTCTTTTTCTGGAAATAATATCAACGTTTATCTCTCATACACCAAGCTCTATCAAGCAAAATATGTGCAATTTCAGAATTTCAAATATTTTGCTTCAAAGTGAATGCCTTTGTTCTTATTAATTTGAGGTAAAGATCATTGTTTTAGGCTTAAGCCATTTGCTTAGCAAAAATTTGAAAATCCTGGAAGTGCTCACATTTCAACTGATCGAACATGATTCACTTCGGATATAACCATTGAATAAATGTATTCTATTGATTGGTGGTTAATTTTAGTAGTTCTTGTTGATATTTCAAACAAATATTTGATTTTTCCAATACTGGAAAAAAACTATCACAATTTTTCAATCAGTTATGAAAATTACAAGGGAGAGAAACAAAACTAGTACTATTGTTTGAGAAAAATGTGTAGATAGTTCAGCGATGAATAGTTTCAAAGCCTATAAATGAGTATATAAAACTTTACCAACCAAATTACTTTTATTCCTTCAATATAGTTACTATTTAGGTAAAGATTTTCATTTTTATTTCATAAGATAAAAGTAAAAATTTAACGAAACAAGATATTTATGAAATAAATTGATAATAATATATCAAAAGATATCGGTTCCCAACAAGAAACTGAACAAATATTTGATTACCTGTAGTGTACAGTTGACAGTGTTTTGTAAAAATTCCACAAAACGTGGCACAATTCCTGTCTGTATCACTTCATCTATAGGTGGATTAGGTTCTCGACTAAGTAATTTTCTAAATTTCTGTGTTGCTGCCAACTGTAGTTCAGGATTGCTGCTGTACAAATCTTGAACCATGTCCTGTGTTACCCCTGGAGTCACAGGAGATGAAATATCTCCTTCCAACTGAAAATAATGCTACTTATTACACACACTTTTGTAAAAACTCAGGTTACATACTTGCAGCGGATCATCTTCGGGTAGTAACTGGTTAACATTAACATTACGTCGTTTGTTTAGCTGCTGATCCCGTTTTGCTTTTCGCAGCTGTACACCTTCCTCTTCTCTTCGTCTTCGTAGTTCCACACTATCTAAAGCAGTATTCTTATATCGGTGCTTGTGTCCTGAACCAGACATCTAAAATTCACAAAACAAATTACATATGGCGAGTATAATGTATATTTCAATTTCAAAATTGCAAGGGTAGATGAATGACTAATGTCAATGAACAATAGTGGAAAATAAAAAATATAGAAAAATTCTACAGATATAAGAAACTAATGTATGAAAATTAAATGTCATAAATGGTTAGTACTCACGTTAATCGAAGTATTCTATTAGATTATTTATTAGATACAATTTATAGCACCATTTACCTTGCATTCAAGGAAAATTTTTAGGAAGAATTAATTGTAGACTGCTGACAACTGACACAGCACTTTCATGACAACATTGAAAACCAAAATTTCCTATGATTTATCATAAGGTGTGTTCAGTTTTAAAGCTCTGGTCCAACCTTAGTTTTTATTTATAATCGAAGAAGTGTTTTTCTTCAATAGAACTGTTTTTACATTTTTTTACAACTAATTAAGAATGACTGATGTTGAAGAAGACATTAGTATGTCAGTAAGAAAGTGTCTTGAACTTTTCTTTGAAGTATATTATGATGACGAACAGCCAAAGATTTCAAAAGGTTAATAAGTTTGTAAAAATATTTGAAAGTCAACTGATTTTCTCAAACATAACAAGCGACAACTAAAAAAATCTTATAAACTCATAATTCACACATTTTCGGACAGTTCAAAAATACTTGCAAACGCATTATTAGTAACACGATTTAGTAACCGATGAATTTAACGAACGGAAGGATGTACCAAAAGTTGATTTTGAAATTTTGCCCTTCGATGTAATCGTTAACATGAGGAACAGTAGTCTGCTGAAATGAAATCCATCGAATAAAATCCGGTGAAAAAATAAACACGCGTTCCACCAGCCTAATCAAGTAATCAACTTGGTTTAAATAAAAACCGCTGAGGTTGGTGAACGCAGCTTTAATACTGACATATTACAGAAATCTACAAGGTTCAGTTTGACATTTCAAGTTTCTCCGATAGATGTTGAACTTTCCAAGAGAAAAGATAAAAAATAACTTGAATGGCACTACAATTTAAATAACAAATCCCCAAGATAATCAATAAAACCATATAGAAACTCCCGATGTAGTTTGTATTGATATAGAATCATATCATATAAAAAAAACATTTAACCTTGAGTTCTTCAAATAAAGATGACTTCAGAGAATGATAAATACTCTATGGAGGTAAGAATTATATAAATGAAAGTGGAAAGTACCTGCAGTATTAATATTTTACAGAAAAATATCAACAATGAATCGGTTCAAGTTGTGGTACGCTGTAGACCACTCAGCGAAAAGGAAATCGAAGCAAAATGTACCAGTGTAGTGAAAATGTATTCCAGCAGGGGAGTAATTGAGGTGGAAAATCCAAAAGCACGCAGCGAAAATGAAAAGAAAAAAATATTTACTTACGACTCAGTTTATGATGAAAGGTAACTTTCTAACATCAATTTGATTAGATTCTTCTCATGCTAACTTTCCTGTTTTAACCACTAGAGATGAATATATACTATTCGTCAACACCTCCTTTTGCTACTCAGGAGTTGTCTGGCTCGTCCATTTCTTTCAAGTTTCCAGGAAACACTGGATTTACTGTGTATCCTCCCATTTTTTCGTGACACCCATTTCAACAATCTTGTTCCGTGCACTAATTTGTGGAGGTACTCCGTTGGATTTTCATTATATTCTACCGGACATAATTTGGGCTGACCATGACTTGCTTGCCTTCTGTGACACGTCACCTGAAAGGGGTATCCCAACACCCCTCGTATTTTATAACACCACCATATGATCCGGTTCTTCAATAGCAGTAGCTTGTTCTATCTTTGGCCACAAAACCAATGAAACTAAGCTATCATGTGTTCAACCACTTTTGAGTGTATTGAAAAAAACCCGTCTAGCAACAATACCCTTACTCTTTATTTTTTACCCTGTAGTTGGTATAATTCTGCGAGTTTTTGATTTTTTCAATTATTTTCTTTAGCTCAACTCAACAAAACTTATATGATGAAACTGTCAGGCCTTTGGTAGCATCTGTACTTGACGGTTACAACGGTTGTGTATTTGCTTATGGACAGACAGGAACAGGGAAAACTCATACGATGGAAGGACTGGAAGAAGATCCAGGTATCATACCTAGGGCTTTTTCACAAATTTGGGCCCATATTGACAGAACAACTGGTGTGGAATTTTTAGTCAGTGTTAGATATTTGGAGATTTACATGGAAGAAATAAGGTAAGAATATGATTTAAAAGGTGAGAGGTGGTGTCTGTTTCTGGTATGGATCTTCCACGGTAGGAAATGTTTTCATAACACAAAAAGGAATTCTGAGGTGCATAGCAAATTGTTCAAACAGAGAATCATGCAAGGCACTTTTTAAAGAGTACAGTATCCTAATTTTATCATCAGTTTATATTCTTGAACTGTGTATGTATGTGTTCAAAAATAAATCAACTTTTACAACAAATTTAAAACTCCATCAACATGATACTAGAACTAAGAACCATTTTCATTTGCCCTTAGGTAGATTCAAAGTAAAGTCATATGGACCGGAATACCTACATTGGTCCAAAGATGTATCACCACCTTCCAGATCATTTAAAGGCCTTGAATAGTTTCAAAAAATCATTGAATAAATATTTATTACAAAAATACTTTACAGGAATTCTTTGAATAACTCATATTCATATTAGTTTTAGAGTATGAGCCTGTCTTCCTCCTTTGTATTGTAATTTATCATTCTTATTGCCATTATTTTTTCTACAATAACTTCAAGAGCGATCCAGACTTGCTCGAAAAGGTGATAACTGGGTAACATATACGAATAATGGGTATATGGTATGACATCGAAACCAAAATCCAATCGTCCCAATGAAAGAACCCAGGAGATTCAAAACACAAAAAAAGGCTTTCAAGTTCCATCAAATGTCAGGGTCGTACAGTCTATAAGGAGTATTATCTTGAAGTAATAAGCCAATAGCGAGAAGCAATACTGTTGTAAATCATACCCTAAAGAAAATGACGCCGGCCGCCATTGGAAGCCATAAACCAATTGTGAGGTAGCTAAGAGCGCGCGAATGTACGATGTTCGCTGCCGTTCTAGATGTAGCGAGAATAATGCTACCGACTTCAATGGAATTCCGGTTAATTTTCTACCGCATTCGATTACGATATATAAACGCTAACCACGAGCATATCGACACAGTCAGTTGACGTTACAGTGCGGTACGCGAAGCGATCTAGTAAGGCAATAGACATTCGAATAATAGTTGAAGCTTTAGTTGAGGTGTTTGTTGTTTCCAAGATTAAATAGACATATGAAAAGAAGTGTATATCAGAACTGCTTTGAGGATTGGAAAAAACTCTGGCACAAGTCTATTTTATATCTAAGGTAGACTACTTTGAAAGGGACAAAATGGAAATTGATGAATAAATGAATATTTTTTGAGAAAAATGAAAATTCACCTTATTTTTTTAACAGACCTCGTATGTGGCTAGGAATTAGATCAGCAGTTGTTACGAGGAGTAATATCAAAAAAATCAAATATTTTTCTCTCAGTGTACTTTGTGACTGGTGATAACCATACCAGTTTTGATAAGTAAGTTTATTAATGCAACTCTAATGACATATAAGAACAAAGGCTTTCATGACCGTAGTCACGATTGATGATAACAAAATCTGGACTGGTACAATGGAACTTATAGTATTAAACACTTCATCTGGCAGACATCAACACTGGTACATACGTTGACTGCGAGGACGAAAGTTATGGCTTGCTGGGACTTCGAGATACAACTTTCGTCCTCGCAGTCTATGCATACACCACTGATGATTCATAATGACATATTTGTATCATTGTAATGGAACAGATGTGTTTCCAACAGTATAAGATATTTGAAATGCATCTGAGAATTTGGGAGAATGGTCTTCAAGCTGTTTAAACTACTAATGCTGATGAGGAGTTGAACACAAAAAAAATATTTTCTGAAAATGTTTATGTAGAAGAACTTGAGAAACACAAAAAACAGTAAAAATGGTTTATCAATTAATTTAAAGTTTGATATTCTGAAAAGTATAAAATAGAATGTTCATGTTGTTGAGAGAAGAAACTAAAATAAATGAAGAATTTTTGACTGTTCAATTTTTATGTTTTTTTTTTCACCTTATTTTAAATCTGAGATGTGGAGATATACATTTTTTTGAAAAAGTTTCGTTTTCATATCAAAGATAGCATTTAAAATAAATCTTTTGATTTTTAGAGATCTTCTCAGACTGAAAAACTCCAAACCGCATGAACTGAGGGAAATGACTGGAGAGGGCGTCATTGTAACCAACCTTCATTCACAAACTTGTCAAAGTGCAAAAGACATGGTGAGAGCTATGAAAGTTGGCAACGCTAATCGCACAACTGGCATGACCAACATGAACGAGCACAGCTCTCGGTCTCATGCCATTTTCCAAATCGTCATTGAAATGGCAGAGGAACACTCAAAGTCAATAAAAATAGGCAAATTGAATCTGGTAGATCTGGCTGGTAGCGAAAGACAGTCCAAGACAGGAGCTACAGGGGATAGATTGAAAGAGGCCACTAAAATCAACAAAGCACTTTCTTCATTAGGTAATGGATCGATATAATGCTTTTGCTTCAAATTATCACTTTTTTATTTGCACAACTTGAGAATTGATACTAAAACTATTAAAGAATGGTCCCTGATCCAATGTTCTTCCTTTCCAATTGTTGAAATAGCAAAAATTATAACTTCTATTTATCATAATAACATGTTCACTTGTTTTTTTTTCAAATGAACATTCATATACTTGATAATTCTTACTTAAATTTCAGTTTAATCCCCTTAAATGTTACGTCATGTGCCAGCCTCATCATTCACTTCAACTAAATCAGTTTTTCACTTGGGTTGTGATTGGGAAAAGTAGAAAAAGAAGGAATAGTCTAATCAACAATTTCAAAAACATGAAAAATAGAGATAAAGGTCCTAAAAATATGAGCGATAGCTCATTCGATTCGGAAACACCTCTAGGAAAATGTTTTTGAAGGATTTTGGTGCAGGTAAAAAATTGCAATTGTTATTATTTAGTTTTTCGTTAATAATTCAAAAAATATTAATACTTGAGCAATTTTGAAAAAAGCTCGTTAAAGAGAAGGACATTTTTGATAAAAAAGGGCCGACTCCCGAAACTCTATCTCCATTATTTATAATTTTAATTTGACGTTGAAAATAGGGT